AACTTATGTGCACTGTTAATAGAAGCAATAGTGGCAGGAGCCTAAGGTCCCCTTTGGAATGCAGGATTGGAAAATCATAGGAACAGAAAAAAAAATTCAGGAATATGATTGGAATGCATGTGAAAAATAGAGGAATTTTGTTAGAAGGGGTGTTTGGTTTTATACTCGAAAAATATAGGAAACCAATACAATGAGGTTTCACTGGATGTTTTTTTCTTTGTTTTTCCTATGAAAGTTGAAGGATAGGCAACTTTCCTATGGTTTTCCTTCCCCCATTTCTTCCTGTGAACCCAAGGCCTCTACGGTGCTGATTCTATAGGATTACTGATTCATATAGTTTTTCTTTGAAAATCCTATGAACCAAAGGGGCCCTAAATTTGGCATCATCATTTAATTTTGAAGTTGCAATACCTGTGCATTGTGCTTATGTAATCCATATCTGCAACCTATTGTTTACTGCTTGAATTTTGCAGTATGTAATCCATATTAGTACCTGTGTGTTGTGCTTATGTAGAGGGTGTTTGGTTGAGGGCCACCGGCCACCACGCAACAAACTGTGGCTCGCCACGGGAACCGGAGTAGCTGTTTGGTTGCTGACTTAAATGAGGCTGCCACAGCTTTACTCAGTAGAGAATGAGCCACAAGAGTGTGGCGGATGAAAACCCCGCCACCGCCACAACTCGCCACAGCGTGGCTATGTGTGGCCAAGATCCAAACAGCCCCATAATCCATATCAATATAAAACCTGCATTACTTGTTATGAACTAATCTCTTGGGTTTTCAATTAAGTCCTCTTTCACTATCTGTAACCTAATATTTACTACTTGAATTTCATAGGAAGCTATGAAAACTATACAAACAGAACTTGTTGCTGATGGGCACAAACCAATGACAAGTGCTGATATTGTTCCCACGGTCCTTTGCCTCTCCCATGGCTAGGTCCACTCCCAGGTCAGCGGCAACACTCTTTTTTTGAAAAATACTGGTATCCCGACGAGCTCCGCCAAAACAGAGACATTAGAATATTTCGAGACCAGCTTGTTGATGAACAGGAAAGTTCTGCTAACCTCGTCGAACAAGTTGATGAACTAAAGAGGAAGACAAAAAAGACTGAAAGGAAGTTTGAGGAGTTCAAGATACAGCAACAGGAGGAGTACAATAAGCTATGTGAGGATATCATGCGCTTCAGCTCTTCTTCTAGTAACTCTCAATCGTCAACTCTGTTGGCTTGAAGCAATGAACATTTGTGGTTTGATGTGTGTACTCGTGTGCTGGTTTGATGTGGTGAAACTATCAACGGGTTGTTGCTGATGTGTAAACAGTAATTTGTTGTACTTGATTGTCATGCTGAATAATTATGTAGACATCACCGAATAACTATGTAGTCAATCTATGTAGCAGTGATGATCTTGAATTACTTTTATGACGAATTGATTGTTGGACACATGGTAGAACCTGGGCAGGCCATGTAATCAAATAAAAATGCGACACGTGGATGAACCAGTGCATGACACGTAAAATAGCCATGGCACGCACGTGGGCTAATAAAAATCTGACACGTGGAAGGAAACCGTCAAGCCACGTGGCTGAATCAAAAAATGAAATGTGGACGGACAACACCGTGACACGTGGTCGAATAGGAAATGACCACGTGGACCAATAAAACTAAGACACATGGTCTAATGAAGAAATGACACGTGACCCAACCGCAACACGACACGTGTGCCAATAGAAAACAACACGTGTGCCAATAGAAAATAGACATGTGGAACAACAGGGGGCCCGACACATGGTCCATTAAGAACCTGAAACATGCAAGAACCGGAGATGACCACGTTGTCCAATAACAAGGTGACACGTACCCGAACCATCTTCAATGGAACCGGCTATAGCAGGTACATGTGGAAAGCATCTCCAATGGAAGCAAACGCCAACGTGGTTGCCCTCCTGCCACGCATGCCAAAGTAGTTCTATGACGATCAGTTTTCGTCATAGATCTATCTAATTCTATGATGATTTTCTAGAATCGTCAAAGAATTGCAAGAATGACACGACTTCTATGATGAACCATTTTTCATCATAAATTCATCATAAAACTGAAATTATGACGAATTTGGCTCCTTCAATGACGAAAACTAATCGTCATAGAAGTGGATATTCCTAGTAGTGGTATGTGGTTTTCAATGGCCAAAAGCCTGGAGTTTACTCCAATTGGGCTGAGTGCCATGACCAGGTGAATGGGTTCTGTGGTAATTCCTACAAGAAGTACAAGTCCTATGATGATGCCCAGGCTGCATTCAACTCAAGAAACAACTCAAATCTTCTCTTGTGTGCTGATGATGACTTGTCCTCTCCTAAACCAACCCCTCCTCCTCCATCTTTGTCACCGAAGACTGTTTTAGTTGTTGGAATGCTCATTTATGTGTTCTACTTGTGGATCAAGCTGAGAGTATGTACTTGTTGTAAGTGTCAAGTTTATGCCTCAAATATGTTGTGTTTTTATTGTTGAAACCGACAGTTAATTGTTTAGTCATGCAGGCAAACAAACACTAGTCCAAATGGGTGGTTGGTGGTAGTTAGGGAAACCTTCCACTTGGGCTAGGCAAACAAACATCTTCCCATCCGCAGCCAGTCCTTGCTCGGGCTAGGAAACAAACAGGCCCAATTGCACCACTGTGGCCTGCCTTGGCCTGGCCTGGCTGGGGTGGGACGGACGGGCCACCCTAGGCCAGGGAAACAAACACTCTCGAAGTGCTCTAGCTTTGCTTTAATATTAGAGTGCACGCCAACAAAAACCAAATCAACAAGATCTTTTTCAAAAAAATTCAAATTAAACCATAGTTGTTTTTGATATCTCTAAATCTTTTAATGCAATCAAGGACAAACTCGTCACGCCCTTACAATTTGACAATTCAAGCTCATTGTTTCCGTAGTAAAAATGTTTGCACAACTTTTCTCGATCCAGCTGTGCCCAAGAACCAATGGAGCAAGGATGCAAAGAAGAAAACTGCGAGAAAGCATTACCAATAAGAGATAATGAATAGTTACAAATTCTTGTATGTTCCATGGTACTAGCTTTCACCAAATTGAGTAAGAAACATGCTAACGTGCTCTCCTGTCGTTTTATTATCTTCACCGTTGAATTTACAGAAATCCGGCACTTTTCAACCATTAGGAGCTTTTATGTAATCAAAATATAAAAGATATGGCTTGCTGTAAGTAGTCGTGGTTGACTTTATATGCATGGCAATACTTTTCAGTAGTAATTTTTTCAGTTCCTTGAATTAGCATATAGATCTGTCATGGGGCCGAATTGCCTATTTGCGAAGTACTTGCATGTGCATTAGCTTGCTGACTCCTAAAAGGTGTCTTAGGATGATTCAGCAAGGCCGTATTATGAGGTAAAATACCAACAGAAGTACTTGCATGTACAAAATAGACTCCAACAGATGCTGTATCTGGAGTTGTAAAATACCCAGCCGTCTATTCCATGAATCTCGGTGGCCAAAGAAAGCTAGCTAGCGCCGCTTGCTATCTCGCTTTCCCGTGTGGCTTCGCACACATGCGGCTGGTTGCCGCGCTGTCCTGGCTGTTCCCGTCGCGAGTCGCCGACTCGCCTGCTGCCCTTTCCGGCACTCCACACGCATGTTCCTCATCACGCTACCCCACCCCTTCGAGCTCCTCAAAAAATCATGCCGTGGCACTACGCAAGCTTGTCGCATCCACCATCAGCAGGAGCTCTGCCCTGCGTTGTACGTACTCGTTCCCCATCCTTCCTAGTCAGAACGGCGCCAATCCCTTTTCCAACCGGCTACATTCGATTTTGATAGATTGGGCGACTCCTCCAAGTGCTAGCCAAGGCCGGATGCACGGGCGTCAAATACGTAGCATGGCTGCTGCTGTAGCTTGGGTGCAATTAGCCAACGAGCCGAGCTACCACCGTGATGGTTGTGTCTAGGTGGCCGGTCACGGAGGAAGCAAAGGCCCGGTGACGTTCCGGCGGTGGACTACTGCACCATGGAGCCTCAAAAAAGATGATGCGGTGAGCTATTTAGAAAGGCTGTTGCAGTTCACTTTCTTTTTGAGAGGTTTTCTATTTTACAAAATTGCTAAATCAAAGAATTTGACATCTATTTTTAGCGGATCTCTTGGAGATGCTCTTAATATGGCTATCCATAAACTTGCTAGATTCTCTTGTTCTTGGGCTTGAACAAAATTAGAACGTGTTTGGTAGAGCTTTTGAAAAGTGCTTCTATTGGCAAAAATAGAAAACCAACCAAACAGGTGAAACCAGAAGCTGTTTTTTTTAGAAGTAGCTGTTTTTGTGTAGTACAGTTTTGAAAGCATTGTGGACTCTACTTTAAGCTATTTACTTTTCAAAATGGGTGGAAATAGAGAACTGTTTCACAGCTATTTTAAGGGAGGTAGTGAGAGAGTAGGTTTTATACTAGTTTCAACCAAATAACTTACAACTATTTTTCAAAAGCAGGTCAACAAGTCCGATTTGACACTAGTTCTTTACGGGAAAAATCCACAAATGCGTTCTAGGAAGGTCCGTCAAGGAGACACACAATGGGGTTGTCCTATGATTGTCAAGGCCACCTACAACGCTGGCAAATCCCGTTGAAGTGTTGGATAGTAGAGAGGTTGATAAAGATAGGGTTTAGGGTAAACATAAAGGTAGAGGTGTTTTTTTATGATTCGATAGATAAGTCTCTCAATCGGCTGTAATCTTGTATAAATAGAATGGGTGTCTTATCCCAATAAAAAAATTATTTCACACGTAAACTATAAGTTTCCCGTGAGATCGGATCGATTTTTCGAAGGAAAAGCACAACATGGGCCGATTTTTTAAGGGAGTTTGTAAACTTGCCCAATTTTATACAAATTCTTTTTTTTTTGCCCATGATTTTCCAGTCCATCTTCGAGTCTTTTAATCCCATTTTAGCTGTTAACAACAATAAAATATTGTCTAAAACTGAAATCAATATACTCTGTGATCATTCTGTGCACAATAAGTCTACGTTCTTGCTGTCCTGCGGCTGCGCCAACATTTTCTCTTGTGCAGGTGTCATCTGATCATCTGTATGTGGAGATTTCATCAGTGGTAGGTTCTCCTTTCCTCCCCATTCCGCCATTCTCACTTCTGTTAGCGCGGCCTGTAATAGTTACACCCAGTTTCATAACTTTTCAAAACACACATTCACCAGCTAGAAATTTTTTGAACAGGATTTCCTCAAAAAGAAATTTTTAACAGGGAGTAAATGTAGTACCTGTTTATCCCAGTTTGTTGTGAGGATAATGGTAAGAAGTATAGCCATTTGGAGAAACGTGCCTGTCAACATGCCCATCCATATGCCCTGCAAAGTTAAGTTGAATATTCCACAAAGAAATGAATACAAACATATATTGCTTCAGGTGATCAAACAGCATTGTAGTTAATTCTGAAATAGATACTTATTTTTAACTGAATGTTAGTTTACCATTGTGCCATATTTTAGCTTGATGCCGAACAGGATACCCATTGGAATGCCCACTAAGTAGAAGCAACCGATGTTTATGAATGCCACAGACACTTGCCACCCTGCTCCCACTGCGATGCCTGAGAAAAAACACACACTGGACTTTCATATATGTTTTCATAATATACGTACTACATCAATTTGCAGGGAGCTGTGTCTAATTTAGAGCAAAAACGAAATAAAATTTATTTGACACCCTGCCATGCATGTGAAGCGGTACTACCTGATAGTACAGGACAGATGCTAATCATGCATACGGTCAGACCGAGAAGAAGCCCCAATTTGGAAGCTCCATGTATCACCTCCTCGCTGTCGCTGAAAAGCTTTGGCAAGCTTGTCCTCCAAATGAGGACAACGCCCATGAAGATTGCTCCCATGAAGATGGACGTTGATACTGCCACAAGCACTGCAAACTTTGTCTCCATGGGCCTCTTTGCACCCAGCTCGTTGGACACCCGAATGCTGGAGAGAGTCCACAACATTTTTGTTATTCAAATAGTGTAGCATGTCAATAATTTATTTGAACTTAATAATATCAAATGCGGCATATACTAATTGGATCTATTCTTGCATACCCAACTGCTGTGCTGAATCCCAGTGCAACCAGTATTGCCATGAACTCGTAGTTGAGGCTGCAGGTTTTTTTTTGTCACACAAAGATGTTGAAATCAATTTATAAATTATTTTATATAAGCCATCATTGTTATCTCCAACAGATTTATGATGTATAATTGAAAAAAAAAAGAAACACTCACCAGACAGACATGATATCGAGTTGAAGTTTGGCATGTTTGAGGAGACCCACGAGAATTAGAAGTGATGTGTTGTACCAAAACTCCAAGCTATGTAATGTATACACAACAGACAGTAATGGTTGATTATAGTAATATAGCAAAACATGACAAAGGAACCATTTCCAACGGAGCACAACAGACAAAACAAGGAAAAGATGTAAAATCTAGAAAGATGCAAGCCGGCAATGACCACAACTACTACAAACAATTTTCAGAGGCGCCAGTTTTTCCAGAGGTGCAGTTCCATTAAGAACCACCTCAAGAAAGCTCCTGCTATGTTTTTTTTGAAAGATCCGGATTGATTACCAGCATATATTAATAATAAGCAGAGATTGGACAAGCGCAAACTGCCCAACTTATCCTTTAGGTGGCAGACGGCCACCTTAGGTTTGAAGGAAATAAAAAACTGCCTATTACATATTACTTGAAATTACTACTTCTATTAGTGGCGCTAGTAGTTTTGCTCCAGCCAAAGACCATAGGAGAGCTTCATCATGTATTTCTGCTAGCCTAGACTGTGGAGGTTTCAAAATTTGCATGAAAATCCTCTCATTTCTTTGCTTCCATAGTATCCAGATCACCAGTACTTCTAGGATGTGTGCTTGTTTGCTCCCTTCCTGTAACCATTTCAGCAAACCAATTGATTATGTTTGGGTTCAGATTTGGGTTGTTGGTCCACATGATGATTTGGGTTGTTACTCCACAATCTATGATCTTTTACTGATGCTGTCTTGGTTGGACACAGTAGATTTTTTTTGTGCTACCTGTTCCCATTAAGTGTTAACGTACTTTTGAAAATCGATTTACAGAGTCTGTTACATAACGTGACAGAAGCTGAACAATTTATGAAGTAGCGCACGTGTATCAACGGGGAAGTACTAACCAGATCATGACGGCCGATCCAAGCGACAGCTTGATGAAAGCGCCGATGTTGTTGAACGCATGCATAGTGAACCCCTTCCATGTGTCGGGGAAGCGGCCGCCGGTCAAGTACGTGAATTGCGCCGCGACAATAAGCCACTGCGAGATGTCGCCAGCAACAGCCGCCCCGGGCAGGCCGTACCCGAGCTGCCTCACGGCGATGTATGTGAGCATGGCGTGCACGGCGAGGGCCACGCCGGAGATGGCCGCCAAAGTCCAGACCCTGCTCTGGGCCCGGAAGAACATGAGGAGCGGGATGTCCATGGCGTGCGCAAACAATCTCGGGATCGCCCACCCGGCGTACTGCCCGGCGGCGCGCGACACATCGACTGGCTGGTGGAGGAACAACCGTAGGATCGGCGTGGCGAAGACGTACGCCGGTGCAAGCGCCAGTGTGATGGCACCGCAGAGGATCAACGACTGCTGCGTGTAGGTGCCCAGCCTGTCCAGCTGCCCGGCGCCGACGGCCTGCCCGATCAGCGTGTTCAGTGCGCTGCCCATGCCAAACTACATGCATATGTTGCATATTAGCATGCAAGTGAAAATCAATAGGGAACACAACGCAATTCCATTGCTGACATCGGAGAACTCACCAGGAGTCCATAGGCAAAGGTATCCAAGATGTTCTCGGCGACGGTGACCGCTGCGAGTTCCACCTCTCCGAGGTGCCCAACAAAGGCGGTGGTGACAAATTCGAAGGAGAACTGAAACATCTCCGCAAGGAGCACAGGGAAGGCAAGGCTCCACAGCAGCCTTGATTCCTCCCAGCTCCGGCTCACAAGCCACTTCATGATAAGCAGCCCATTTGAGTTTTTGCTCATGCTGAAGCTCAATCATGCTTGGACTCGATGTCATGGGCATATCTATCTATTCTATAAATCTATCTATCTATCTATCTATCTATCTATCTATCTATCTATCTATCTATATCTATAACAAGCATTGACTTAAGCCGCTACGTGAGCCTGAGCCTGTGCCGCTCGTCGCCGACGTTTCTCGCCTATCTGGCGGCGCCCGCCCGAACTCGTCTGCATCCCCCTTCTCCGATGCCTCCTACTCGTCACGCAGCAAAGAGCCAGTGATCCTCTCCCTCCCTCCACCAACAATGGGGGCAAATCCCGCGCATCCCATGGCTCTCTCCCAGATCTCATGACGGCATGAGGCCGGCCCACGGTGGGGAGTGGCGCTAAATCACACGCGGCAGGTCCCACAGGCAAGATCCTTCCTCTGGTGAAGAGAGCCCACAGTGGGGAACGGCGCTAAAACAATTCGACTCTAACAGGATCATATTTTTTTTTGAAACATCTTTTTAATATATATGAGCTGCAAATTATTCAATGTGAGAGCCTCCGGCACTAGGTCTGTCCTTTTATTATATGTGCTGGTAGCAATGAGAGCAATAGCGAGAGGCGGCAACTTCAAATGTGATATTGATGAGATCTAATCTATTAACAAATAGCGAGACACCTACTGTAGTGCAGTGTTACAGCATACATAGTGCAATATGAACAATTGTAGATTGGGAACCATAATAGAAGCAATTTAACTGCCAATAGATTTTTCAGTGGCTTAATTAATTTGAAACACAAACTTGGTTTCAAAAGCATACATACCTTTCAACAAAACAGAAGGATGGGAACTACATACAGTCCAATATCTATTGATAACCTAAGCAGAAATGGACCCTATTTATATGCAATGATATTGATTTGCATTAGAGGTTCACTATCTAGTTGAAACATGTGTTGATTCGCAAAGGTGCAGACAATTTTTTGATAGGTGGCTAGTTAATTTTGCCTACATAAATCATTTCAAGTAGCACATGCCATTTCTTCGGAGTACACATGAATGCAAGATACAAGAAACACTTGGAACCAAACAAATTGGAGAAGAACCTTCCCAGATTAAACAAAGTAGGTTAGTGTACAACATAAGGGGATTAAGGATGTGCATGGACATTGGACAAATTCGTCTTGCTATATTGAAGGGACATATTGCTTTCCTGCTTGCCTCACTTAGCTAGGCGCTTCTGATTGATCTACTGGTATACTCCCTCCGGTTCTTTAAAGCAAGGTTTTATTTATATGATAGTTGGGAATCAGTATTTGGCAGTATAGCACTTTCGTTTGTATTTGATAATTATTGTTCAATCATGGCCTAACTAGGCTCAAAAAATTCGTCTCGTAATTTATAATCAAACTGTGTAATTAGTTATTTTTTTATCTACATTTAATATTCCATGCATGTGTCCAAAGATTTAATGTGATGGAGAGAGAGTGAAAAAACTTGAAATCTAAACAAGGCCTAAGTCGTTTTGGACATCGACACGGTCTTTAAGAAACAACTTTGATTGCAACTTTTTACTATAAAATATTTATAAAATATAGTCAATATATACTTTTATGAAACTACATTTCAAGATGAATCTACTTACATCACTTTCATATTTTCAAACTCAACCCAAAAAAAAGTTATTTGTAGTCAAAGTTTAAAATGTTTGACTTAAGATAAATTCAAAACGACTTTTACCGGACCGGAGAGGGAGTACTTATGTTGATGTCTGCGGATATTAAAGGGGAAGCAAAGTAGTGTTAATTTCTACAGGGATCCGCAGAGGGATTGAAGTCCCAAGCGCCCATCAAGAATCGTGATCGCTTACCTGTGCAGTGGAGCACTGGAGCTCCATCCACCAGACAACACAGAAGGGGATCTCAAATCTATTCATCTTCTTCCATGGGGTTTGAGCCTTATCCTTGTATCTCAAATCGATTCATCTTCTTCCACCAGGGGTTGTCACATGCTCACATGGTGCACGATCAGATGTGGAGGAGTGGAGGATAGCAGACATCGCACGCGCCGGCAAAGGTCTCGTGGTAGGGACGGTCCACGCGCGGGCGGCCGAGGGCGGCGGCCACCTTCCCGCCGGCACCGAGGCCACAGGTGCCGTCCCGCGGGGGCGAGTGAGGTGGGCGGGCGTTGCCGGAGGCAGTTGCCAGCGTTCTGCGGCGGGCGGGCGAGCGTCGCGAGGAGGAGCTGAGCCCAGGCTGCGAGGGGGTGGATTTGATGTGATGGAGAGAGGGCTTTTGATCGCAACTTTTTAAGAAACAACTCCAGCTCGCCTGCGTGGCGCCGGGTCAGAGGTCACCCGCAGGTAGGCGACAGCGGGCCCATAGCTCCCCTGCGAGCTTGGTCGTGTAGTGGAGCCCGGTTCTTGTCGCCGCGAGCTAGCTCGTGTGGCCAGGACGGAGATCCCCCACGCGACCGGATCTTGTCGGTGTGTGTGGCGGGGCCAGACCGCCGGAGCTGGACCTGGCACTCGCCCGCACGACGGCTACGACGGAGGTCCACGCCCGGACCTCGCTGACGACCACCTTCTCTCTTCTCCTCCCCCACTGCCGGCATCGTTCTTCCACGCGAACAAGCCCGTGGGGACGTCCCTGTCCGCTGAAATTTGGGGGAAGGGGTTGCCCCGCACCTTTGCCGAATAATCCCCATCGGGGATGACTCTGCCCCAGCTGCCTCCCAACCAAACACGGGTCTTAGGTGGGACATCTCACCTAGGACACCATGTCCCAGCAACCAAACACATGGTAAGCCTTGGTATGCTTAAGTAGGCTGTTGACTGTTAGTTGGCTTTTTGGCCTGTTTTAGAGTTCTACTATAGGATGGAGGCCTCGGTAATCATTGTGCTGTGCAAATTTCTATCTGGACAAAAGGAGGCACGGGTCTAATTTCATCTCCACTAGTCTCATAAGATAATTTTTCATTCAGTGGATTCATTCTAGACTTATGTGAAGATGTGAACAATTATTGTTAATCGGTTAGCGATTCTTATACCTGATAGATATGAATCAGCAAACATACAAATATAATTGTATCTTTCACCTAGGAGTATTGCAGAGTATTATATTTATCCTCAGGAAAACAATGCATAATCAATATCAATAACTAACAAGGATATATCTGCTAATTAATATATCAACTAAATTAAAGTGGGGTTAAGTGAACTGATAGGAGTTACGAGATGTGGAGAAAGGAAACACAAATCTTATTAAAACTCAACGTATACGTGGAGAAAATAAACACAAATCTTATGAAGAGGTAAGGACCAGCTAAAAATTATACTGAGGGAAATTGAATCCAAATGTTAGTTTATAGGTTTTTTTTAGACGTACGTAGTCCAAACTTGAGGGAGTATTTGGAATTTTTCAGAAAAAGAAAATTAGATTTATTGTATCATCCTACTAAACAATGAAGAATATTGTCTAGAACTGAAGTCAATATATATTCACTAATTCTACATTCTTCTGGCTGTCATGCTGCGCCAACATTTTCTCTTGTGCAGGAGCCATATGATTATCCGTATGTGTTGTTTCCATCAGTGGCAGGTTCTCGTTCTTTCCTCCCCACTCCGCCATTCTCACTTCTGCCAGCGCGGCCTGCAATAGTCACCCAGTTTCATAGTACATAGTTTTGCGAAAACCCATTCACCAGCTATTTTGACAGGGAGTAAATTAAATGTGGTACGTACCTGTTTATCCCATTTTGTTGTGAAGATAATGGCAAGAAGTATGGACATTTGGAGAAACGTGCCTGTCAACATACCTATCCATATGCCCTGCAAATTTGAATTTTAATTCCACAGATAAATGAATACAAACATTGCTTCAGCTGATCAAACAGCTAGCATTGTGGTTAATTAATGCCGAATAAATAGATAGTGATTTCTAACTGGATTTTAGTTTACCATTGTGCCATGTTTTAGCTTGAAGCCAAACAGGATACCCATTGGAATGCCCACTAGGTAGTAGCAACCGACGTTTATGAATGCCACAGGCACTTGCCACCCAGCTCCTACTGCCACGCCTGAAAGAAAACAGACAGGAATTTCCTTTCATATATGTTTTCACACATATATGTCTAATTTAGACCAAAAACTAACTCAAACTCATTTGGCACCCTGTCATCATGCAAGTGAAGCAGTACTACCTTACCTGATAGTACAGGCCAGATGCTGCTCATGCAAACGGTGAGAGAGAGGAGATGCCCCAGCTTGGAAGCACCGTGTATCACCTCCTCGCTGTCGCTGAAGAGCTTCGGCAGGCTTGTCCTCCAAATGAGGACGACGCCCATGAAGACTGCTCCCATGACGATGGATGTTGATACTGCCACAAGCACCGCAAACTTCGTCTCCTTGGGCCTGTTTGCACCCAGCTCGTTGGACACCCTAATGCTGGAGAGACCACGGCATTTTTACTTGTCAATCAAATAATACATTAATGTAGCAATGCAACAATATATGTGAACTTAATAATCTCCAATGTTGCGTACTATATCAATTGGGTCTGTTTCCTGCATACCCGATTGCTGTGCTGAAGCCCAGTGCAACCATTATAGTCATGAACTCGAAGTTGAGGCTGCAGTAGTTTTTTTTTTGTCAGAAGAAAGACGACGACGAAACCAATTCATAAATTAATCCATATGAGGAATTATTGGTATCTCCAACAGATATACTCCGTATGATTGTATAATTGCAATTAAACACACTCACCAGACAGACATGATATCGATTTGGAGTTTGGCCTGTTCGAGGAGACCCACGAGAATGAGAAGTGTCGTGTAGTACCAAAACTCCAAGCTGTGGGTATAATGCTTTTATCATAAGAACGAAGACTAGACCATATATAATATAATTGCATAACATGACAAAGAAACCATGTCCAACAGAGCACAACCGACAAAACAAGGAAGATATATAGTACTACACCTGTAGATGTAGCATACACCTACTAGTTAGCCATATGGACCGTCCCGCACGGCACGGCTCGGGCCTGAAAAAATTACAGTCCGGCTTTACTGGGGTAGGCACATCACGTGGTGCTGGTCTAATTTTTTACTATTTAACCCTTTTTTTAATAAAATTTGTATTTGGTCTCGAGAGACTTAAACTCATCTTTAGAACTTTGAGATCGGCGCCATGAGTCCTGGCGCCATGAGTCCTGGCGTAAGGTAACGCGCCTCGACGCCATAGATCTCTAGGACTATTTAACCATGTTTCTACTTGCTTCTTTTATTGAATTAAAAATATTTTGGCTCATGTGAGGCCGTGGGAACGCACGGATATAGACCTATTTCTAAAACTAATAAGACTTAACGTTACTAATATATTACTCGTGCTAACGCTCGTGGAGGACACAGGCACCCAGCAGAGCGCTCCACACCGACGTGCTCGGCTCGAATGGGTCTTGGATGAGGCGGTAGGACTACTGTACTTAGCAAATGCAGCCGCATTCATTTCACAGTCAGCCGCAGCAGCGTCCGGCCGGCCGGCGTAGGAACTTTACCGCAGTATGATGTTAAAGAAACAAAGGTACTGTGTAAAATTCATGATCTTTGGACAAATAAACAATTAAAATAAATAAAACAGCACATAACACTTTTCTATATATCAGGCACAAAAAAAATGAAGTTTTGTATTTTTCATATCTAGGTCTAAACATTACAAGCCTTACCAAATTTGTTTTGTTATGTTTAATTTTTTACTGATTTACTGTGCATTTTTAAATACACTGTAATATTATCCACACAGAAAAAGCATTTGCTTTTTTTATTTCTCTCAGTACTGACACCTTCTCACTGATGGCATGCTATACCCCGTCTGCAGCCCTGTTCTCATCTGTCAAAAAGCTCGGCGCTGTTCATCTGTCTCGTCCAGTTGTCCATCCACCCAAGCTGGCTTTTTAAATAAATTTTCTTCAGCGCAGTGAGCAGCAACAGCAAAAGCAGCCGGCGCCAGCCTTGTCCGCCTCGGCACGCGTGCCGTGCGCCAGTGGCTCGAGCTCGGCGCCAAGATCTATGGCGCCGAGCTCGGCACCATGTGTTCTAGCGCCGAGGTATCAATCACGTAGGATTTTCTTCTGTGCACGACCAAGCACCTCAGCGCCAAGATCTGTGGCGCCGAGACGTGTTACCTCGGCGCCACGACTTATGGTGCCGACCCCAAGGTCTAAAGATGAGTTTAAGTCTTTCAGGGGACCAAATGTAAATTTTATTAAAAAAAAAGGTTAAATAGTAAAAAATTAGGTGGTGCTGGCAGGGCCGTGTCCTGTGTGTTGTGCCACCCGAGTGCTGGAGCCTCAGCCCATGCGCAACATGGCCATGTTCTGTGTTATGTCTCTCCGAAGCATGAAGTTGAATCATGCAACAGCTCGTCATCATGTCACACGAGGACGGCGCTTGGCTTACGCTGATTCATCGTGAGATGAAAATACTATTTATTCGTTAAAAAATATTGTTGAATTAGTGCAGCGGACACGGCCGAGTAATAAAGATATAAGTAGCGGGAGACGCCAGCCTTTCAGGCAACTTGGAGGAGCCATTGTCGTCGGGAGCAAAGGTACTACAAAAGGAGAACCTCTCATGCATAGTGTCGCTGCTCCGCTGGGAGGCGAAGGCAGAGGCAGGGTAGGGCCGGCCTAAGGGGGGTGATTGGTACTAAATTTCAGTCATCGTCGTGTCATATCGGATGTTTGACACTAATTTATAGGATTAAATATAGATTAATTATAAAACTAACTTTATAAATTGAGACTAATTTACGAGACGAATCTATTAAGCCTAATTAGTTCATGATTTGACAACATGGTGTTACAGTAAATATGTGCTAATGATAGATTAATTAGGCTTAATAGATTTATCTCGTAAATTAGTCTCCGTCTGTGTAATTAGTTTTATAATTAACTCTTATCTAGCTCTTCTAATTAACATCTAAACGTCCGATGTGACAAGAACTAAACTTTAGTCTCTAGAACCTAGCACTCCCTAACCATGACATGTGGTACCGAGGAGGTGTGCCAACCTGCACGGTGGCAACTGGCAACTGGCAACTAGACCGAGTCGTGCATGAGCTGCACTGAACCCCGTGCATGTTCGCGAGCTTTATGTACAACTATATACAACTATAAATATCGGCTTAAGATTACTTAATTAGAGTGTTTTTTTAATAAAAATAGTAAATATACGTGCGTAATCTCCGTTGAACTAAAAATGCTAAACATTTTTTTAACGGGGGGAGCAGTACATATATAGAAGTAAAATAAATTTCTGGAAATAAAGCTAATAATCCGGGCCGGCAATGTGGATCGACGGAGAGTACAAACAAACCAGATCATGACGGCCGACCCGAGCGACAGCTTGACGAAAGCGCCGAGGTTGCTGAACGCGCGCACGGTGAATCCCTTCCACGCGTCGGGGAAGCGGCCGCCCGTCGTCATGTAGGCGAACTGCGCGGCGACGACGAGCCAGTGGGAGACGTCCCCGGCGACGGCGGCCCCGGGGAGGCCGTACCCGAGCCGCGCGACGGCGACGTAGGTGAGGACCGCATGCACGCCCAGCGCCGCGCCGGAGATGGCCGCCACGGCCCAGATCCTGCTCTGCGCCTGGAAGAACATGAGCAGCGGGATGTTGATGGCGTGCGCCAGCAGCCGCGGGACCGCCCACCGCGCGTACGGCCCCGCGGCGCGCGACACGGCGTCGGGCTGGTGGAGGGAGTGGTGCAGGAGCGGCGCCGCGAAGACGTACGCCGGCGCGAGCGCTAGCGCGGTGGCGACGCAGATGATCCACGACTGCTGCGTGTAGACGCCCAGCCTGTCCAGCTGCCCGGCGCCGACGGCTTGCCCGCTCAGCGTGTCCAGCGCGCTGCCCATGCCATACTGCACGCGCGCGCGCGCACGGTGGATCCAACATGAGCAAGATCGATGAGGAAATCAATCACACGACTATACCCATTGCATGCATCGCTTGCTGCTCCGTAGCTAGGCACAGGAAGGAATTAGACGCACCAGGACTCCATAGGCAGAGGAATCCAAGATGTTCTCGACGACGCTGACAGCCGCGAGCTCCACCTCTCCGAGGTGGCCGACGAAGGCGGTGGTGACGAATCCGATGGAGAATTGAAACACCTCCGCCAGGAGCGCCGGGAAGGCAAGGCGCCATAGCAGCCTCGACTCCTCCCAGCTCCTGCTCACAAGCCTCTTCATCATAAGGGCATCCAGCCCATGTGGATGTGGGGGTTTCTCCGCCTCATGCTCGAGCTTGCTGCTGCCTGGACTCGATGTCATGGTGGCATATACTACTTTCATCTACCAACAAGCTCGCGCTCTCTTTGCAGTTTGCTGCAGGCGCAAGGGATATGTAGTATCCTTTTCATTTCGATGACGGAAACTGCAACGCCTGTGATTGCTCATGTCGCTCTCCTAATCTCTAGCTGGGAAACATCAGAATCCGTGAAAGATGTAGGCTAATTACTCTGAGATGCTATGATTTCCCCGTCCATGAATGTACGCATTTCTAGCACAAGGCAGAAATTTTGTGCCTAATGAAATCCTTCCAAGGCTTCCACTCCCTCATCATTTGAGTAAGGGGCCCAATAAATTAATGCCTGTCATTTATAGCATCATCAGTTACCTAACAAGGCAGGCATTAATTATGAGGGGCATCGCAATTATTTTCTCCTCCGTTTAAGAGCAAATTCAGAAGACTATTATCTTTCCCTAGTACTTAGCAACAGAGATTTTGGTGATAAAAAATTCATGCAACAGTATTTTCATTAGTTATATCCAGATTTGAGAATGACCATTTAGAGTGCACAAAAGATATAGAAAACTGTTAGAGAATGGCCTTTATGCAAATAGCTCTGGAAATGATGATTTAGAGAGTGAGTTTTAAAAGAGGCCATTAGCGATGCTCTAATTTGTCCTAATAAAAACCCTTACATTTGTAGAAAGTAGCTAGCAGCAAACAATCTTAGAATCTTAGGAAGCTAGGGTGTGACATCATAGCAAACTCAGCGTATCTTAGTAGATTAGGTTTGTTAGGGTTGAAGCATGTTTTTTTTAGAATTACACGGTATAACGCAGACGCCCACAACACGCACGCACACTTCATCACTATGAATATACATACGCAAACCTACCCTTTGAGCACAGCCAAAGGATTGAGCTGGCAGATCTCAAGATTCACAAAGTCACTGCGGACACCTCGCAGTCGACGAAAACATCGCCTAAGCCTATCTATTTGAATTCAAGTCAACTTAATATTGGTCCTCGTATTTTTTAAATTTATTTAAAGATTTAATATTATTATATTTTTAGTGGTGGGCAACGAACCCATGACATCAAAATAACTATGATAGTTTCATTAGTCATAAGATCTGCTGATCTAGCCTAGCCATTTAGAGAGATCATAGGTGCAGAGTATTTGTGCATATATGTATGTGAGCATCTGCATTATTTGTGCTATATTTAAATACAAGTGTGTGATCATAAGTACACAAAAGCAACCTTAGCAAGCAGTTCACAATCTTAGCAGTACATAGCTAGAATCCAATGGTCGTATAAGGTTTCAAGGAGATGTACATGGGTGAGCAATACTTGTTGCTTGCTCAATAATATATGAACTTTGCTTAAAGAATTTCTGGTCCACTTGGCTTCAATAAATCATGTCATCTTGTAGAGTGGATTTTTTAATTTAAATTAAGGAAATTTGCCTAAAGAATTTCTAATTTACTTCGTCATCATATTTTAATTTAAATGCATGAGCAACCACTGAACTTATGGTCCATAAACTTATTAAGTGGTGCACTGTACAATGGTTGTACAATGGTTGCTATGGTCCAAAGACAGACTTGTGGTGCACAATTTAACAAGTTTAGCTACGTGTGGTGTATCACTTAACAAATTTAAAGACCAAGAAATATGTTTTTCAGTTTGTGGACATAAATGAAACCCTTCACAAGTTTAGAGACAACCCATGCATATAACTCTTTTGATTTTTAGAAGATTAATTAGTTTTCACATTCTTGGTATAATTTTGGCATATGTTTTCACAAATATCAGATCAATTTTTTGGTGTACATTTGGAATTTAATAATATAATATTTTTTATAGGATTAGAAAAAGTCATCATGCATGTTCATGTGCTAAACATATCTAGGGCCTCTAAGAGCATCTCCCAGAGCCCTTCTAAAACCTACTATCTAAATCATCATTGAGAGAGTTATTTGAGTAAAAATCCGTTTCCTATATCTTTGCACTCTCTAACAGCTTTTCTATATCTTGTGCGTACTCTGGAGAGTCATCCTCGCTCTCCATCTTTGGCTAGCGAGAAAATCGGAATAAATAGATGATGTCTATATTTGGATATCCAATTGAAGAGGCTATTGAAGGGTATTTTTCTTACCAAAATCTCTATTCCTGTAAATTAGGAAACATATAAAAAGTCTCTTGGAGTTGCTCTAAGGGTTACTTTGTGGCTATTTTTGTGCAGTTCAAATTGGACCTTCAAATTGGACCTTTTAGAAATGGACACAAGGAGAGAGAACATTATATAGTGTCTCTAACAACTAAGATCCCAAGTAGCTGATCATTTGACAAAACAAGTGTTCTTGAACAGCAAATGCAATGATATGAAATATTCATTTTGATCAAGGAATTTAACTTTTCACCAAAAAATCATTAAAGAACATACACACAACATATATGAAGTTATTGTTTTAGGTGATGCATGATATTTTGGCAGGAGAAATACACAAAATTTATGATATTAAAGTTGGAAGTTAATTGCCGAAATATAATTCATTATGAATTTATGATTGTTGTCCAAGTATAAGCCGCAAATATACTTCCTCAGTTTCATTATACTCCCTCCGTCCTAGAATGATAAATAAATTTTATACATGAAAAAGTCAAATTTAACAAAACTTTAACTAATTAGTCAAATTATATAAAAGTTTTGTCAGTGTTTCGCACCGTCGACTTGTAAATTTAGTTCATGAGCAGGGATTAGATAGGGTAACACATAGGACACAAAAGTTTATACTCGTTTAGGCGAGACATTGTTGGTATTTCTTATGCTCAAGTGATTAATTCTGCAAGCGCACATATACCGTTGTAGCACTTTACCAGGAAGTATTCCAAGGAATCGTATTTGTTTTATCCGCAGAGCAGTGGTGATTAAGAATATTAATAAATATGTGACTTGACTGTTGACTATATCGCAATTAATATACCAAAATCTAGTTGGGGTAAATGATACAAAGGGGGTAGTATGACAAACACAATGGAGTCCCACTAAGATATATGTAGATAGCTAGCCTAGTTGGGAGGCCAATGAGACGAGTGTAAACATCATTAGTTCTCTATTACAATGGTCTAAGCAAGCATACACCAAAATATATAACTAAGTACATCTAGGTACTAGTGATCACACACCAAACATATGGGAGGGCAGACCTGGCCGACAACAAAAATAGGTGAGAAGGATGTCAAACCCTTCTTGCAAAGAACTCTATGATTTAAGAACTCACCTGAATATGGTGGACTACAAAGGTCAGACAGGGCTGTCACCACTTGCTGACTACCACAATCATGCATGGGGTGAGCTGCAAACCAAGGTATCCAATAGCCTAGAGAACATTTATGCTATGGTACAATACTCTAACCCCACGCGACATAGGCTAGAGCAATCAATACGAGCGAAGTAACAACGGAAAGTTATGATAGTACTAACTAGATACTAGCAATGCTTTGAAGCTTGATCTACTTTGCCTCATTGGTAGGTTTGAAAATGGTATGGATATTTTCTGACCATATATGAGACCGAATCTGCTTAGAGAGGTTCAGATCTGTCCGTATCCTAGTCTGAATATTCAACATCTGATATTGTATCTGTATCCGAATATTCAAATCGCATATCTATGATGTCGATATCCAATCGTATCCTATTCGGCATGGTTGACACTATTCGTATTTGATTCCAAATCTAGAAAAATATGAAAACAAATGTAATATCAATGATATCTGTCTGTATCCGATATGTTTTCATCCCTACTCATAGGTGGTCCCGTATATCTCATTACCCTCTAGAAGTATGTCCCATATTAGATCTATGAATGCCTTGAAGCTAGTCCATCTAGTGGAAGGTTGCCTTAGACTACAAAAGATTAAGTGATGTTAACAACTTTGTTTAATTCTCCTTGCAACTAGGATATATAGTGTCACCTTCATATATTACACTAAACTTTTTAGTTTCTTCAACACCTTATTGGTTTAATTATTGTTTGCCAGTGAGTAACACAATATTTCTCCCATATCGTTGCCCATTTGTGCTATTTTTTAGATGTTATCAATGATGTCATCATCATAGTGGTCTAAACCCATATCGTCTACAACCGTCCATGCCTATATATATGAACAATGCGTTCATCAACACGCTTGTTCTCACATCTATATCGATCATTAACACCTTACTCACCATGCTTATTCTAGCATCTATAGTCATCCATAAATCCTCAAATCATCAGATGAGAATGCACTTGTAATAAACTCAATACAGTTCCACACTCTTCATTGTTGTTGACACAAGGGAGATAGGAATGAGGATGGGAGATATAGAGGGGCTAAAATGATGATAGATGCGAGAGGTATACACCACCATATAGTAGAGTTTAATAGTAAGGGGATCATAAATGTAATCAACAACACTTCATCAAAGAGAGTTTCATGATCTATGTTAGGACACATCGCAAGCAATGATGCAACAACACCTTCTTCTCCACCATTGGAAGATACAAGGGAATGATCTATAAATAAAATATATTAAACATTGAACATAATGGAAGTAAAATTGATGAGTACAATAATCCACTAAACATCGAACTACAATGAAGAACATATTATAGAAGTTTTTGTGTTGTATTACCTTGTAATTAAAATGGAGCTCTTGAGGCTTGTTGCGTGACTGCAAAAATTGATTATAGAAGGAAGGATGACACAAGGGCAGCATTGAATAAGATTGATCAGAAGTGAACCAAGAAGAATAGATTGTACAAGCACATCATAACATGGGATTATGTAAGGAAAGTTTAATGCTTTTCCATAGTTGTCAACAAGAGTCACTTCAAAGGTGAAGATCTAGAGAACATGTTCTCACTAGGAGCATTGATCCTCTAGCAAGAATTGACATGTACACAAATTATGGCATTTGTTAGATGTAGAAAGTTGCATTGGAAAGAAGTTGGGCTGGTAAGTACTGACCTCTCACAATAGGAATGGAGCAAGGC